GCTGGATAGAACAGGTGGAATTTACGCAGCTCATTTACGCACTTTTCCTGAAGATAGAAGAGTTTGTTGAATCTGATGTGACATGTTCATACGAACACTTTGTACGAACAAAAGTAAGAGAAATTTAGGATAAGAATACGAACATGTTCCTCATGAGGCCCAATGTTTCTGTTCTATCCTGACTATCTCTGAAACAATGGAAGCTGCTCAAGTACGTTTCAATTTACAATTTATTTTGAGCTAMAAAAGGAAACCCTTTGGTGCAGAAGATGTTACTTTTCAGTTAGCATTCAAAATGTTGGGGCACAGCTTATCATTATTWTTATATTGTTTCTTTTAGGTCTGTTGGCTTTAGTGTCAGTCTTGGAGTTCCACTAAAATCCATCCAGTCGTTCTTGAGATATTTTGCTCACAGGCACACGTGAAGCTAAAACATCATCGCCCACTTTTATCCTTTTGATGATAAGCAATAAGAAGCGTCCTGTCTTCTTCTAGTTAAATAATCTGTGCTGCACATGAGCTCTGGGCTCATACATCATATCTGAGTGTTCCTGTCTGCATGTGAACATGAGACTGTTTCCTGGATCTGCTGATTGCAGATTTCATTGTCCGGATTAATCAGCGGGGACAAGAAACCGCCGTGTTTCACTCAGACGCACGCAGTTTGGCACCGGAGCCAGGATTGTCCTGACAGGTTGGAGCGATCAGGATTTAAAGAGGCTCAGAGCAGCAGATGATTTCTGCTCTGCTGAGGGCTTTGATCACGATGGGACGTCAGTTCTCTCTTTATGCCAATTTGTTGAGTCATGCGCAATTTTTAATAAATCAGGGGTACGGTAATTGTTTTCACATGCACATAGCAGATGTGTGTCAGATCTGGGTCGTTAGCTCATCACACAGTCAATGAGAAGGGCTAATGGAGTTTGTTACTCTTTATAAACACAGAGAGGAGAGATGTCTGTTACTGCATCGAGGCTTCTACTGGCATCACAACTATCTGAATTATCTAGTAYACAGTTACAATCTCAGCTACTACCACTTCACAATTAGCTCATTATCTGTAAGTANTATACTAACCTCAATCCTTTGTAACAACTAAGGCAAAAATGTAATTAATTCATAAAATCTTTTCAGGAACCCAACTTGATGTTTCGGGACCCCATTTTGGGTCCCAACCCCAACTTTGGGAAACACTGCATTAAGCTGTGGTAGCGATCTTGAACTGGGTTGACTCCAAATGGTAATCGATACAGAAATGATCACTTCCTGAGAGTTATTCAATCTGTTCACAGGTTTATGAGATAGTTCACTAACAGACAGACACAACTGAAACCAATATTTAAGACAAAGTTTTACAACCAAATCCTGTGCAACCAGTTAGTGGTCAGAGTATGACTCTGATCTACWGCCACACTATGATGTAGTAAATTTCTATAAGTCTGAATGAATTAGACAGTTTTGTACTTGCTGTAGATCAGGGGTGTCAAACTCAGTTTAACTGAGGCCCAGTTGTAATAAACTTTGTCAAGTTGCTTTTCCATTCAACGTCTCCTTGCTACAGCTGAGCACTTCTAACAAACAGTAACTGAGCTCTATGTGGTATTTCCTGCAGAGAAACAGTGTTTTAACACGYCCTCTTACAAACACTGAAAAGTACTACATGTGCGACTGTGTGAAATAAATTATACAGAATTACTGTTMAAAGTAAATGCAAGAGTTTTATTTACTGTTGAGTTGTGGTAAGTAGCTGCCATCTTGAATTCTGAACTTTCCCACTTTCCGAGAAGGAAAGTGATAAATTCCCTGTGGGAAACTTCCCGGTACAACTGGGCCACAGGACAAGTAGGCAATGAAAATGCAGAGGTTTATAGTAACTAAGTACATTTACTTTGTTACAGTACTTAAGTAGTTTTTTGAGGATTTGTATTTTTGCCAATTATTTTTTAAACAGCTACTTTTATTTTGTTACATTTTAAAGATAAAAATTATACTTTTACTTCTTTACTTTAAATTTAACACCTAGTTACTCATTACAAAATTAAATTATGAAGGGTTGAATTTACTCAACAAGGTCATGTCACCTGGTTCCACTGAGCCTAGTCGAGTAAACTGAGCAAAAAATAAATATATTGCTCAATTTACTCAACCTGGCTTAGTGGAGCCAGTTTGGTTCAGTAAATTCAACAGTTTATTTCTTGTAAAAGTACTTTTACTTCCCCAATTTTTGTGTACAGTTTTATGACTTTTACTTGTTTTCTCATCAGTAAAATTAATCTTTACCAAAGTCAGTCTCTGTTCATGTAATTTTACTTTTACTTAGTAATTTTTTTCAAGTACTTTAAAGACCCTATAAAGGTCTATATAGACCTTAGCATCTTATTTTARGACAATCCATCTTTAAATCTTTTACAGGCCACATTTGACCCAYGGGCCTTGAGTTTGACAAGTGCTGGAGATGCATGTCCAATGATTATTTCCTGACAGTTTCATCAAACTCTGTTCAGTCGTTCATTTCTTTACTAAGTTTTATTTGACCAGGCAAATTCCACTGAAATCACAGATTTTTCAAAGGCAGCCTGGGGCTGAAGACTGTGGGAGGAAACTAAAGKGCCAAGAGGAAACYCCACTCARACACAAGGAGAACACACAAACTCCACATAGAAAGACTCCAAGTAACACTTTGAATATCTGATTATTTACAATTCATAATGTTTAAAAGAAAAAAAATGTGTAGAAATTTATGTGTGCTCAAAGGACAAGCCTGAAAGATTTGAATGCTCATGATTTTTGGGTCCTCAGGGGCCACTGCTTTAAAAGCAGGTCTGATTCAATTACRGACATCCCTGCATTAAAGCTCTATCATGCAAAAAAAAAGAAGCCATATGTGAATACCATCTAGAAATACCTCTGTGATTTTCTCCATTTATTTAAAATGGACTGATGCAAAATGGAAATCTACTGTATACTGTGGTCAAACAAAGTAAAATGTGAAAATCTAAAAGAAAAGACAAGGATTATCTAGCCTGTTAGCTCACATTTCAAGAGCTTATATCTCTGAAGGTATAGGGGTGCATTAGCTTACACACATGGAAAAGCACCATTAATTCAGGTATATACATGTTTTAGAGCATATGCACACTGTTAAAAAGCTGGAATCCTACATGAGTCAAGATGAGGACAAGGTTTATTTTCAAAAAGTTTAGCTCCAGGCTCTGTCCTAACTTGTTGCCGCCACAGAAATTCAAAACAGCTGAATAATTTATTGATTCTCTTTGTTGTATTCTTCTTATAAATGCAGATTAAGATTAGTAGATGGTTGCATTCACCTTTAAACAACATTTAACACAACATCCTAACTTTTATTGGGATTGGGAGTTGTAATTTATTTTTTTCGGCCTAATKTAATGATTTAAAAACCTTACTGAAGACAAGACTGGACTGACAGAAGCAACAGATGTTATGGGTTTCCATATATCTTTATTTGTTATTTTACA